TAAAAACAGGACTATTGGAGGATCTCATCCATAGATTTTGTGCTCATGGATGAGTGTTTTCTGTTGTTTCATCAAAAAAAGGAAGACAAATGGTGCTGATAGTGAGAAAAAAAATAAAAACACAGGCTGAGGATGAAGAATAAGAAAAAAATAGAATAAAAAGAGAAGAAAGGCAGATGTTGCTAATTTTGTGAAGATGTTTTTAGGATTATCTTAAGACATTAAGACGTCAGCTAGATTTAGGTTTACCAGTCCCTGCATGTTAAAGATATCTGCACTGGTAGAGTCTTTCTACAGGAGCACAAGAGCTTTGTATTTGCTTGACTGTCCACGCTTCTCCACTCCTCCCTTCAGTCATGGTTACTGGACCTGTCATGATTATCCAAGGCTAAGACTGGCCCATAAAATAACATGGCTTCATCCCTATCTCTGCTCACTTATGACACTTTGAGGTCGGGCAGGTCAAATGACTAAAAATGTCCCCAGCTAGTTTGTCTCCAGGCTCTGCAAACACATACACGCACACACACGAACTTACCAACTTACCATGTACCATTTTCCCATTATGCCCGATAGTGAGCTGAGTGTATCCAGTTGTGCCCTTCCTTCGAATGACCTTCTCCGGAGTGACGCTGCTGCACCAAGACATTCCATTCACACTGGAGAAATAATTTTCCTAATGATTCATCCCACTCTCTCACACACACATCCTTTGCATCACACCTTCCTTGATTGAGTCTTTTCACTACTGTACAGTTTTTACAAAAAATTCACCAAAGCCAAAAATGTCAGTCTTTCACTAAGATGAGCACCTTTACAAAAGAAAAAGTGATGGCCATTTCACATTGCTGCTGAAGTGGGAGTCGATGGGATTAAAACCCAACACCTACTGGAGCCAAATCGCACCCTCTTCAACCATGCTGGCCTGAAGTGTGAGAGACGTGATGGAAACAGAAGTGAGATGTGTGAGGCAGAGATGTGGATATGCTCCCTAACACCCCCTAACTTCTTCTGTGCAGTCTATAAATTGGACCCACTGATACAAATTCTCTGCATCCAAAATCAGTCTTAGTGTACTTGCTTATTAATAATTATTAATTAACTGTAGAGGACAGAACAGGAGGGGAAGATGAGGTGAAGTGAGGCCACAAGCATGGTAGGGGTGGGGCTGCAGAGCCGGGCAGCACATGGAGAATGGTGGAAGAGCCAAAGGTCATGATCTGGATCAGAATTCATAACATGCTTCACTGTGTCCCCGTGCTTGTCCCTTTGAGGATGCTCCTTCTCCATAGTCAGCACATACTAAGTCAGAATGAAATGAGATTAGGGTCTGTCAGTTGCATGTTAAAAAACAAAACAAACCCAAACCTTATTCCGGCGTGTTGGGTATAGCAGCAGAGTAACAAGGTCTCTGCTCAGTTTTTTGCTGACGTGTCCTTCAGCGGAAAATCTCAAACCTCTGTTTCTGACAGCAGATGACATGCTGTGAGTGAGTCCAATCTGCATAAATGTGAAGCAAGTTGGTGTCGAAGCAAAAAAGCAGAGCAATCTTGAAAACATTCTTTCAAAAGATGTCAAATTAAAAAAGAACATGGTGTCACTCCACAGGCCTTAACCGTGCAGCACGTTGCTCTTGCATCTCTGCTAATGAATTGTAAATGTACAGAGACTTTGCAGATCCAACATCTTCCTCTTGGTGATGGATGCTCACATCCCGTGCATAAAACCTGATAAAAATCACCCTTTTCACATTTTCATCCTTTTTGACGTTATTATTGCAATTTTTTTTCGAGTGCTCAAAATTAAGTATGTGCACGAGCAGTATGTGCTCTTCTGTATAAAAAGCGGTATTTATCACGATGCTGATTAATGCGCATTGTTCTTACGAAAAGAGAAAGGAAAAAAAACGTGGTTACGCAATATGGATCGAATTTAGTCAAGCTGTCATTGTGTCTGCAAATGATATTCATGGGCATTTGTTATACTGGCCAAACAAAATAGCAGACTAGTGCATTTCAAACTCAACAACATCCAATTCTGCCAGCATGTCTGAAGACAGATATTTACAAGTACATGTACCATGTAAATGTCCCACAATGCAATTGCCCTTGTGTGATTTAGCTAACTGGCCTGGCTTGAAATGTTATCCACTGGATATGAGACATCAATGCACATCTCCTACAGACTGCAATGCCTGACAAAGGCAGCCATGTGCATAGTGCAAGCATTCTCCCTTAACATAGTAAATAAAGGATAGTGCAAGCAATAACCTGCTGTTAACAGAAAGGAGTACGACCCATCATGAACATGTCCACGTAACCTGAAAATGTGACAATTTTTCACATTTTTTAAAATGTAGCCAGTGACAGAGTACATTTTACAGTCCTGTTGTTAAAGAGGTAGCTTTGCAGCATTAGTTTTTAATCCTCTCACACCACCTGGACAGCATATGTTACTGGAAAGCTCACTGAGGGATGTTCAGAGCAAAGTGTCCTGAAACAACCTACAATTTTTAAAAGATTTCTTGGCAATTACCCGCGTACAGAACAATACTGCATCAAGCTACAAGAGCCCTAAAGCTGTTTTTTCCCATTCATGATAGGTAACCCTAGGTATATGTAGAAGTGTAGACATGCTTTAATGTGTGTTGGACAAAAAGACAACCATGACACAAAGCAGTGATCCCTGAAGCAGTCATCTCATTACCAAACACAGGGTGAAGGTTTATTTGTGTTGTGTGTAGGCTGGAGCAGCAGCAGCAGCAGTCTCATGCACTCTATCAACTTTATGTGTGACGAGACTATAGAGAAAACGCACGCTCTGTGAAGTTGTGGCAGAAGCAGAGAGTGTGCCATGTTATAAATCTGCTACATAAGCATTGTAGGTGCCACTTTAACATACAGTGGACAAGCACCGATTTCTATTAGTTGCAGATTTACGAGGGCATGAACAGAGTGATTGATCTTCCTGAGGGAAAGACTAGATTATTTAAGAAATTGTATTCAGCACATCTGTCTCTTGCAAGTAACACAAGCATCAGATTGCTTGCATGTACAGCTCACGGAGTGGCGGGGCTTTGAATTATAGACAGTAGTTTATCAAGAGCACAAGCTAAAACTGAAGGAGAATTTATAGATGGCAACTAGTTCAGTAGGGCTGCCTAAATAAGGCATCTTTATGTAGATCTATCAAAAAATAAGATACTGTAATTCTGAGCTGCACTCGGAGATGGATGCACATTTTCCAGGGCGTGTGATACTAAAAAAAAAAAAGAAAGAAAAGATGCAAAAAGCAAAAGAAAGACAGACAAAATCTTCACGGCTGGCTAATCTCTTGACACAAATGTGCCACTGTGGTATTAGAGAATCGCGGATGTGGTTTTCTCCCCATCCCCTTGAGACACACAGTCTTAACAAAATAAACACATCCAATTAATTATTCACACTGTCTTGTCTTTTGAGAGTCTCTTTAGATCCTGCTGAGCATTATTCCTGCCCTTTGCCCTGTTTTGTCTGCTTGTTAGGGAGATCTGAACACGGGCTTAGCAGGAGGGGGGAATGAGGTGCACAGCCATGAATTACAGTTGCAATGATAGCCCTATAAGGTCAAAGGCCTATCTATCAAAAAGCATTACATCACAGCAGTTCACACTTTCCATCTGCAGCCTTGAAATAGCAAATCACCGTTCAGGCAGATGCGAGAAGGGTCACGGTGAATTGCAGTGATTAAAAGTAACGTCGAGTGTGGCAAATAAGCAGGTTTTTGTTGCAAATTTCGGCATTAGGATATCACCCCAGGCTTTCCCTTTTTCTGGGTTTGAGTTTGAGTGATGTGTAAAAATGTGGTTAATGATCAGAGCATTGGCTTTAGTATTCCTCCACATTAAAAAATCATGATCGAGTCTGCACATTGCCTTGACACCGTCTTCCCGATGTGCCTTGATGAGACGATACCAGGACAGACAGGAGCTTTAGAGATCAATTAATGTGGCCATTAAGCCCGCTGCAATGTCATCAAAGTTTTACAGCAGCAACTCTTGAGATGTGTCTCCCACAGAGTCCGCCATACAGTAAGGGAGGTTGGGGAAAAAAAGTGGGGTGCATGAGACATTAAAGCGAGCAGCTGTATAATCTCCAGGCCAGAAAAGAGGAATTATTTTCTCTTAACACTTTTGATGCAGTCTGCAATATTCATGCCAGCAGCTATCACGACCCAGTGTCCTTTGCTTCATCTCCAACTTTTATAGAATGTAAAAAACAGAAACATGCAAAGCCCAAACATGCAAAGCCCAAACATGCTGCGCTGCATGTCGGACGTGCGAGACCCCCTCCTCTACACACACCCGCGCACAGTCACACTTACAGTAACACACAGATGCACGTTCACTTTAGGTTCGCTGCTGCGCTTGTAAAACTCCTGCATTGTACTGAGAGAACTACAGCACGGAGCCCAAATACGCACAAACAGTAGAAGTGTTGACAGGCTTTTCTCTGCTTGCGTCAGAGATATTCAATGCCTTTTTGATTACCCTGCCCCCTGCAATGAGGGGATGCATAGTGATGATCTATATATCACTGCAGTGACATAAGATTGGGGGTGGGGGTAAAGGGGGGGAGTGCAAGATGTGGTGATAAAGGTTATTGCTGAAGTACCGTAAACATTTTTCTTTTCCCGGTCTCTTCCTCTTGAATTAGCTTACATCTTCTCTTTCAATCGGCCATTGCATTCGCTGTTTCTAAATACTGGATATTGGATTCTCACAGTTTTGGATTTCTCCTTGTAGTAATGCACACTTTTTTATTTGTCAATTCTCAAACAAATAATGCTGTCATGCTATGCCATTCGCAGTCAAACTGAGAGAAGACAGCTTGGACGTGGTGCCACGGTCGTATCATGCATCAATGGCTTTAAAAACCTCCCCTCTCCTCTTTTGCCTTCCTCTCCCTGTCTCTTCCTCTGTTTTTTTTTTTCCTCCTCCATCGGCGGTGAACGACGCTTACCTTCAGGTCTCTGCAGGAGTAGCTGGCGGGCTCCCTTCGAGGCATTTCACAGCGGCTCTTCTTCCCAGGACTGCACGCTCCTTTCCTGGCTTTGTTCAATAAACAACAGCCCTCCTGCCTCCCTCCTGCCACCCAGCTCCTTCTGCTCTTCACCACTCTCTATCTACTCCTGTGTGAGAGGGGGGTCTGTCTGTGCTTGTGTGTGAGGGAAAGAGGGAGTGAGAGAGAGAGAGCTAGAGGTAGAGTGGATGCGAGAGGAGATGGGAAGGATGTTAATATGCATGTGTTTTTTTTCCCTGTCTATTTTTCCTGTTCCTGTCTTCTCACTTCGACTGAGATTGTACTCTCCGTCTCTCGGGATTTGTCCTTTATTGGAGTGTATATGTTTATGCCTGTTTGGACAGAGCATCAGTTTTAGTGTGTGTGTGTGTATACATCTACCACATGGTTCCTTTTTTATCTGCTGCATAGGCAGAGAGAAATAGACTCAGAAAAGTCAAGTACAGTGAGAGGGAGGCAAAGTCAGATGAGGGTGGTGTATGTGTGTGTGTGTGTGTGTTTGGCTGCAGACAGGGAAAGAGCAGTCATGTACAGTAGTGTGGTATAATCAATTGCTCTAGAACTGCAGTTGAAAAAACACCCTGAGGGGTTGAGAGAGACATAAAAAAGTAGAAACAGTGAAAAGAGATCTCATACGAAAAATAGCCAGAGCAAGACAAATAAGAGCTGAAAAGGGAAAAAAAGAACCAAAACATAAGAGACAGAGGTGAAGGAGGTGCTAAAAAGAGTGAAAAGGACCCTTTGGACCTAGAATTTCATTTTTCAAGTCACACACCAGCACCTAACGTAGAATAAAGGATGCCTGTATAAACCAAACTGAAACTATAGTCTTATGCAGTCACATCAGCCATGCTGATGGTCACTGAGCTCATGGGGCAATGATCAGTGTGGAGTTTATTCAAATACATCCATGTAGATATTCATTGATCATATTTCAAATTTTGTTACCAGGGTAATGTGTACACAAAATATGATATCCATCAGGCTGCGGGCAGAGAGGTGGATGCTTGACACTGAGATGTTATTAGCATGACATACAGAAAACTGAATGTGCGCTCTCCACTTAACAGACGACGAAAGATGAAAACGAGAGCAGAGAGAAAGAAAGATAAGGAGATGATGATAAGTAGGGGAGGAGCAACAGAAGCAGCTATTACCAGAAAGGCTCTTCTCGTACATCCTACACTGAGTTTGGGAGGATATTTATGACTCTGCAGCCCCCCCCCCC